CGGTGAGAGCACGCATTTAGCGTTGTCCAGTGTCCCTACTTCCTTCTCCAACAAAATATTGATGTTAACAACAGCATCCGACGAAGGGCTGCTAGCTCCACTACGTCTAGTGGATAGCGTACCACTCAGAGCGCATCGAAAGGCCGTGCCCAAGATACCTCAGACCTCATCCGACCATGCCACTCTTGGCATGCAGCAACTGCTTCGAAACGTTAGCAGTGCTCAGTTGACTACTTGCCACTCCGCGTGTATCACTTGGGCCTTGCCTTCAAAGCCTCGGCTCTTGACCGAACATACGACGTATGACATGCAGCGACTGCCCTGATACATGAGCAGCGCTCAGTGGGTTACGTTCAGCCCGCAAGCCATGCTCAGGACTCCTGTCCAAGACAACTTTGGTGGATGACAGCTCGGATACTTCATTATCCAGCACATTGACTGTTTCGGCCCAGTGCCGGTCCCAATACCGCTTTTGCTTCCTAGCAGAGGCAGGTTCATGACTCACCAAAGCTCCACTAGGAGACGTGCGCGTAGCGCCCAAGGTCTTCGACCTCCAGTCGATCCATGGCTCATGGCGTTCATGCTATGCCATGTCAAGGGTGAGGTCATACCTTAAATCCAAGTCTAAGACTATGCAGCGTTCCACGCTATCGTAGTAAAAAAGTTGACACCGAGGTCCACAGGGACCCTCGGCACAGAGACACAAGGCCCAGTCGCTATGCGAATAGTGACGGATTCACTCAACCGCACTTTCAGCGCCTTAGCATACAGCTGACTTCCTTCGATCGTTGAGCGTCGAGCATAATTGCCCGACGCCCCGGAATCGGTAAAGGTCTTTCATGGCTTTTTAAGTCTTCACGGTCACTTGTACGACCAGCAAGCCCGGCTTCCATACACAATCTTTGGTCAAAAGCCTGGAGCTCTTCGAGGCCGAGCGGGGTTGACCTCACCCTCTTGAGGCATCCGTTGATGCGGCGGCAGCAGTTAACGCACTCAAACGTTCGTCACGTTGTCAGCAGCCGATTTATCAAGTCACATACGCTTTTGTAACTTCCAGACGTGCTACAGCATTCCTGTTTACACTAGACGCATCCGTTTGACGCGGCTCAAGAAGACTCATTTCTCCCCCAGTATGGCGTCACGCGCCTACTGGGTTTTCTCTGTTCCTCGCGACAAACCAGACTGGTTAGAAGCGGGACGTTGGTTGACGAACCTCTGCGCGCCTTGCGCAGATGAGAACCAGTCCGAGGGTGACAGGTGTCTCCACCGACAAATCACACATCGGGTGTTTAAACGCTGTTCAGAAGGTCGGGGCTCTCCGCATCTTTCTTAACATAGCTGAAATCAATTGGCTCAGGCCTGCTCGACGAGCCATGAGAGTGTGTATTTCAACCAACTCGTGCCGACTTAATTTCAGTTCGAATTTTTGGCTCTTTCAAAAGAAGACGGATACACATGGAAGAATTTCATTCTGACCACTCCAGTGCCCACAAAGACGGTCGCTGAGACCGCTCCGGGAGAGGTTCGGCTGCCATACCGGCAATGAAAGTACGTAACGCTTGGACAAAGTCCATTAAAATCTTCTTGCCCTTTTGAGCGGCAAGGAAACGCGATTGCACGCGATGTTTCAGGTTAGGCGGCAAGAACACTCGTAAAAGTTGCAGCATCATTTCCGTCCAAGATGAAAACGCCGCTATAACTGGAATACCACACGTCAGTATCCATTCTCGTGCTCGATCACCGAGTTTGAAGATAGCTAGCGCCATGCACTGTTGCTCGTTCCGGAGCATGGCGGATGCCGTAGCCATCTCGGCCTCACTCACCTTAAGCTGGAGGTTCTCGGCATCATTACTTTAAAAGTTCTTAACGCTCACCATGAGCGACCTGGGCCCGGAGGAGTCTTCTGCTCTAGGCGCTCAGGCAGAGTATGTTTTACTACTTGGAACGCCCCTAGGCGGGTGCTGAACGCGTCAGGTCCTTGTAAAGCGAAATGTTGCACACCCTCAGGACCAAGCAGGGAATTTAGCTTTCTAAGTTAGCCCTGCATGCCAGGAGAATTGTTCCATTCTTACAGAGGATATTGCTACCAAGGGCAGCGGGGCTGCCGTCGCTCTTTGCTTGAAGGAAACATACCCAAGGTCACCGACCTTACATTCTTTCCAAGAACAAGTACGAGTGTAGCGGATCGCAATCCGCCACATCCAAGAGTACCCAAACTTAACCCAAGGTAAATACACTCTCCCCTGCAAAATCCAAAGTGTTTTTATCTGTTTTATTTGCGGCAAAGCCGCCTAAATCTTAATCTATACGTTCTCCTAATTAAATAGTAAAACCTAATTGATATACACTACTCCCGCCACGTAGTGGCTACTATTACGATGTAGCCACACCATTGTGTGACTACACCGTCTTGTTTAGTTCACACCTTGCACGGTCACACCATCTTGTAGGGTACGTGTAACCCAATTCAGTGTGTAAAGGCACCAGGTGGAATCGAATCACCGATCACTTGTTTGTGAAGCTAGCGCTTTACCACTAAGCTATGACACTATGAGGTATTGCAATATAATGAGATCATTTTTACATCTATTGTGTGAAGTGCACTTCAGGGTTCATTACGAGTACATTACGGGCAAAATCCTCTCACATGTAATTTACACAAAACTGGAGTATTCCTTTTGTCAAGATTTGAAATCGGTTTTTTTATATGAAAGTTTGCAGACAGATAATTAATGTATCTGTCTAACTATCTTCAATAATAAAACCTAATGTATCGCATTGTTGTTGTATCAGCTATATATATTCCAAGAGGTTATGTAGTACTTAATGTGATGTTTTGCATAGCGTGAGTCTCAAGAATGTATCATCAGATCCTGTTCTTTTCGACAACAGTGTGATACGTACATACACCATGATTTGATAGATACTCCACATATAAATGCCATTTTCCTAAGATACTTAGACAGATTTGTTTGGCGGTTACGTGAATTATTCAGACTAATCCATTTTTAAAAATATCGAGACATTAATGACTATTTCAATTGAAAGCTAGATCGTAATATCTTCTCAAGTCTTATGCATCACAGATCTCGTGACTGACTACAATTTTGTTTGCATTTATTTAGATCGACTCAAAGCAGAAGGCAAAAGGATCGAATAATATCAAGTCATTAAGTCTTGACAACAAGGCGACTGATGACTCCTTGGAGTGGGCCTTCTGTACACAAAATTGATGAACGGCTTTCCACTGGGTTACGTAGACCTCCACATCAGCTATTAGGGTCACCTGTATTTGCTCACATATGGTCATTTCTGCATGCCATATGGCCGTGTGAGCTACATGGATGGCAATTATTTTTTCTCCAGCTTGTCGCATCGTTAACGCCTAATATCGACGAGAAGCAGACGCTGCAACAAGATCATGCATCATTGCATTCATTCCAACCAACATCAACTTAACTACGTTAATCATACATGTAATCAAGCGGTGTACAAACGGGAATCCCGAAGACAAACGCCTCATGAAGTCTACATTACTCGGCGTCTCTCGGCTTTATCGGCAGGACTATGACTGTGCTTTAGAGAAGAACATACACTTATTCTCGATTAACAAAAACTAAAAAGTGCATAAATTATGTCATGATTGGTGTTAAACGAGAACTAGACAAAGAAGTCAGGATTAAGCACATCACCGTATCGTACATATTATAACGCAGCACACAGCTTATTGGGAACGAATGATAAATAAAAAGCAATTCTTCAAAGGAGAGGCGCCGCAACTACAACATATGACGGTAGCAAGGGTCATAAGTACCAGTGATCCGCTTTTATATTTACTTTTCAGCAAAACGACCATGAGGTATAGAATGAGGTATGGAAGCCAGAATTTAAACTTCTATTTGCTGTGATACTCGTCAGATTTTGTATGCTACTACCGTTAGATTGATAAAGCCTTAAGGAGCCACTATCAGAAAAAGGTCGTCAATCGACTTATTTTGAACAATATACGCTCTTGCTCATGTGTAAATTCTTAGCTCTAAAGATCTGTAAAGTTTGATAAAAATGTAAGAGCCGATCCTTATTCCTGGATATTCGGCAAATCATATTAATGGAAATCAAACGCTTAGTACGTACTCAAATATCCACTTGTATGGGTAATTTCTCCCCGGGATGCAACTTCTGGGATGATGACCTGATAAGAATGCATTTTACTTATTATTGAATAAATCTTGTATTCTAACTTTACACTATCTGTAACTAATGACTGGAATCTTTGCAAAGGCTTGCGTCATGCAAGGTCTTTCAGGGTACTGCCAACGTTACATAGCGTAAGCGTGAAGTATATCCGTCTCAACAACGACTTGAAGCTCGATTTTTGATACGGTTACGATATGACAAAACATCATCACGCATTTATTGAGCGCCGTATACTGAATGTAACCTTCTGTCCTGACTTTTACATTGGGTCAGGAACTCTGCATACTTCAGCAGTGACGGCTATTATCACATAGGAATGTGTGTTAAACATATTATCAAGCCAGGATTGGGACTAACTTTATATTTTCATCCACCAGATCACGTTTTTACTGTATGACTTGAAATATCAACAATGCAATTATTTCTATAAAAAATAAAATATAAACTTAGATAGTATTGTTATCATTAGGTGGGACTAATTACCTCAATTAAGTACGACTGTGAAAAGGACAACCAGACGAAGACCAGATTGCGCCGTCATCAGCTCTTCCTTGTCGCTCCTGGACGACCAGCTGGACGTGCCACCCGCGCAACTCTTGCTATTGTTCAAATTAACTTTGTGAATAGTATTGCTCATCTTTCTCTACCGTTAATCGCCGGGAGATTTCGATTTCAGTGACCATCGGTCTTTAAGTGCTGGAAGTATGGCGATGTATATTGGGAGACGGCGCAAAATTGAAATGAATTTCATTCCAGACAGAATAAAACGACATTACGGTGGGAGAAGAATCTACGTCTTTATCATGGTGACGCTATTCATTCTCGTTAGAAGCACTAGTGCTGAAGAATTGATCGTTTACCATCCACAGGAGACCAATAAACGCACATACATCGCGGGCTCACATATACTGGATTTAAAAAGTCGATTTAGTGATATAGACAGCGTATTTGTGCAGCTTGGTGGTGTAAAACAATGCTCAGAGGACGTGAATGCTCGAGTGGAGAGTGAATTATTAGTAGACGAGGTAATGGAGCCTTGTAGACGGACTACTGGTGATCTCGTAGTGAAGGAACTGTTGCAGCCCTCATCACAGTTAGCAGTGCCATCACAACGGCAAACGATGAAATTGTGCAAGGCAGAAGAATGTGTTGTTTGGCTGAATATGGTGGTTGAGTCATCATGGCTACCGATATGTAATTCTCGATTATCTCAAACAAGTTTTCGATCACTCGCAGAGACATTACTTCGAATTCGAGAAGAGTTTGTCGCATCAGGTGATTTTTACGAAGTTGTGGCGCCAAATGCAAGCATGTTTCGCGAATTTTACAGATTAAATCAGATTTCCAACTTACAAGGAGCCAAAGCAGATGTGAATTCGGCAGTTACGATTACAAGGCAGTTAGCATCACAAAATGACATTAGCTCAAGCGATACAGGAGAAAATTTACGACAGAGTACCGCAGTAGAGCCTCCAAGAGCCCCTACTGGCTCAAACATTCTTGACAGTAGTGCAGACGGACTTTTGGGCAGCGATTCCAATGCTAGTGACACCACTGGTTTTACGAATAGTGACGTTGGCCCACACGCGTCTTCGACTGCCACAACCACTGAATTGACGCTATCTTATGCCTACGTGGTTGGTGCCTGGATCCTATTTAACACAAGTTATTTTTTTCTTATGCGGAGAAAGTAAACAGCCTTAGAACTAGTTCATCGATGATTATAGTAAATTATAGATTGTCAAACGTGTCTGTCATAGTGTAATTAGAATAATTACGAGGTAACGTACATCAGCGCACAAAATTATTGATACTTGGTGACTTCACTTCGCCATAACAATTTTATTTCATAACATTCGGCGCTACTGCTCGTGCTGGCTCACAAGTCGTCGCAGTCGAGACTTTTGCAATGTGCACAGCTCGTTTAGTGTGAGTATGTTCTGGCACTGATAACCTTGCGTCAAGTGATCGTCTCCGATAGCCTTGGAGAGATGAAGCTGGCGAGGGTTTAGCTATAGTCAACGTGCGTCTTCGTGCATAAAGTGCATCCTGTTCATTCTCACCCTCTTCTTCATCAGAAAAATAAAGATTTCGACATATAACGCACTAAACGCAAATAATCAGTAAGCAATAACGTCAATATGCTACGTGCATCTCTTACCTGCACAAAAAGTGGTCGATTAACAAATGTGCATGAAGTACAAGCCCATGACTCCATTGGCACCAACAATCGACCAGAGTGTCGAGCATTAAAATCCATTGTTAAGCGGTATGACGATGCCGGAGATGAGCATATCGAAAATGAAGGAGCGCGTTCTGCGGCTACATCCCATGGTACACGTCCACCACCAGTTATAACATCAATAAAAGTACTCGATTGCGAAAGTGTCGCCACGTCCACTTGTAGCGCTGTTTGCAAAAATATTGCAGCAGAATCAAGAAGAAATTGAGGTCGAGAACTGTTGTGATCTCCATCAACTTTGATAAGATTTTTATCGCCTCCATAAGCTGCAAAAATTTGATCACTATGATGTGGAGCGATGAATGTATCGTGCTCTGCTGCAACAATCATAGCCGGTACAAATGACACAGGAGCATGATCAATTGGCGCCAGTCGCCTTAAATTAAAATGTGCACGCTTTTTAACAGAAGACCGAATGAACTTCAGCACAATCTTGACAAGAAATCCAGGTAAAGTCAGCCCTTCCTTTCGACCACGTTCCACCACCTCCTCTACAAGCTGTTCGAGACTAGCAAATGCACTGTCCACCACAATACCAGCAATAGACGGGTCTCGATCAGCATGTAGCAGTGCCGTTGCTGCCCCCATACTTCGTCCCCATAATGCCACAGCACCAACATTTTCTTTTGTTCGAAGATATGTTACAACATCTCTCAAGTCATCACGTTCGTAAAAACCAAGTGATATATATTCCCCATCAGATTTACCACATCCAGCAGTATCAAATGCTGCAACCGATATTCCAGCAGCTAAGCAAGTTCGTAAAACTCCAAGTGCTTCTAATCGACACGATGAATTGCCGTGTAAATAAATGACACAAGGTATTAACTCTGTTGAAGACGATAAAGCTGGTCGCCAATGTGAGCATACAAGCTTTTGCTTGCGATCATTTACCACAGTAAAATCTTTTCGAACAAACGATCGACCAAGAAATGTAAACTTTTCCGGTCCTAAATCTTTCAAATCATAGTCGGTACGTGGTGGCCGAATGATCAAATGGACGAGTTCTGTGTATCCATGTTTGAGTAAATACCAATAACTAAGTTGCGACGATGCTTCTTCCGTTGCTTCCTGTCCTCGTTCAATACCACCTCGCTCATGCTCCATTTGATCATCACTACTGGAGCTAGAACTAGCTCGTGGTCTTGTAACTGGCCGTCGGTCTGTGACAACGTCTTCTCTTTCAACTGGCATAGATGCAGAGCGTCTCACGTCGCGTTTTCCTTGTCCCGTAATATTGTCAAATTCTGTACTTGCCTGTGGTGGAAGTGAATGTCGCATGGAACGAGAATTATCTGGAGTAGAGGAAGAAGTGCCTCGTGACTCGGAATTGCCCATGCGTATCGTTGTAGACTGGAGTGAACAGCCTCAATAGGCGAGTTAATGGTATAAAATGGACAAATCAACAGCTCAGATAAATATTGTGAGACCAGTCGCGTCTGTACGAGCGCCAGAGACAGCGTTCAGTTCGCTGATTAAGTATGTAAGTTTTACTGGCTTAGAAATCTATATGAATTTAAACGAATCAAGTAAGGGATCGTCTCTACGGTGGACCTGGATATTGCTTATTTTAGGGTTCTGTGCTAAATATTAACTAGGTCTTTACGGCTCAACGACAAGTATCATCTTAATTTATATCTAGCACGTTGGAGTATTAATCATGTTGCAGGATCGCGATTTTGCCATCGCAACACCTCGAAGAAAATCGCAGAAAACATTGAATCGGCTGCTTGTTCAGCACAAGACTTAGGGTGTCAACAACACCATATCATGTTGAGGTTTCGTACACTAATAATACAAATTGCGACGTGAGATAAATCTTGATTTTTAACGAATCAACTGTCAGTTTGAGCTTTGTAATTACGTCCTAAGCTATTTACCATATAGATAACCGGTGGCTGCGGGTGGCTTGACAGCTGCGACTATTTACTAGGAACATAATTTCTGAAATCGGACTAGAACACAGGTGCGCGACGTGTCCGATGGCTTTAATAGCTTCAGATATAACTCAGGATGCACTGGATTAAAAGTAATGCTGACTTATATGCTCGTATTACGTAACCCGACCTTTAGACCTCAGTAACCATGGTGAACATGCCGAAGGAACGCCGTACATTTTGCAAGGACAAGAAGTGTCGAAAGCACACAGTGCACAAGATCACGCAATACAAGGCCGGTAAAGCATCAAAGTACGCTCAGGGAGCCCGTCGCTATAATCAGAAGCAAAAAGGATTTGGTGGTCAGACCAAGCCCGTGTTTCACAAAAAGGCAAAGACGACCAAGAAAATCACCCTTCGGATGGAATGCAAGGAATGCAAGGCGAAGAAGCAGCTACCTATGAAGCGCACCAAGCACTTCGAGCTGGGTGAGAAGAAAAAATCGGCTGGACACCAATACTAAGCAACGTCAGCTCTTTGCTTTGTAGTACGGGTGACTCTTTTAGCGGCGACTGGAGCAATGGTCGAGGGCAGATATGTCATTTGTTGTGCCGCATTGATGCAACAGGTTAATGGAGGAGTGCGTCGTTGGCCAGTCGTGATCGTTAGTGCTTCAAATTAAAGCCATGGTCGTATTTTTAGTTCGAAATTGGTTTTACCTTTTGCGTGTTTGTCCTCCTTTCAAAGACATTGGCTCCGAAGAATGAGCTTTGTTTTATTATCGATACAAAACGGTATACGTATGAAAGTTATGCCGGATTAGGTTTTGTCACTGTGAGGCTTTGAACAATGTAGACTACAGACAACCCAAGAAGAAGAGCACAATCAATCTATTCTGATGTCATGCAGCGGCGTACATCTCGTATGCCTATCACTTGTAGTCCTCGCGTAAATTATGAACGTAGCACGATCTTGGAATAAGTATCTTCATTTAGCCAAAGAAGTTTTGTACACGTACGACATCACCTTCCAAAATTTTATTTATCTAGTTTAGCAGTGCTTGCTATCAATGATAAGTGCTGGTACACCGCACAATTGGAGTTAACATTCTCGTACATAGCATGATAAGATCCATCTTATATATTTTTTTACAGGCATTTAAAACTCCTAACCCAGGTCAATGTACCGGCAATTTGGACTACACTGTATACAAAATACAGATATCGAGGGCACAGTATACGTTGTCACCTTGGCGTTATCATAGCTAAATTTTTCAAAAGGCCGGAAATATCGTACTATAAAATAGAGAACATTTGGGAGGTGAAACCTCGGCGCACACTCGGCAAGCCATTAGTACTTTGAAGAAGCACACACTCGGCAAGCCATTAGTACTTTGAAGAAGCACACACGCTTTAGAATTTGGTTGAATAATGTTTAGCGTATGATGAAACAATTAAAGCTTCTGACGCAATTGAAGTCTATCAAGGCGTGCAAACCTACGATTTAGCGTCGTATTTCTTGACAAACTTTTTATATGCTATTATTAGAGAAGTACCTTTTTACAAATCCCTTTTAAAAGGGAATGGCGTTGCATTATGAGTTCGGGGTTGGTTGTCCTGTGCACGTCGTCCTTGATGTCACAAAAGGAAAGCATGTACGTCAGCATCTTGCATGTAATACATATTGAAATAAAGCTGATCGCTCTTGAACCTTCTTTGACAACTCACAAGTTCCCCTTTACGCCCAATTGTACCGAAGACATCTCACCGAATTATTGGATACTGCAGATTTAAAAGTATCACGCCAGCAAAATAATCAGAAAGGATACTATGAGTTTTAGTGATATATTAACTTGTCCAAATTTAGCCGACATCCAAAGATCGAACGTTGATCAAGTGTTCATTCATGTTGAGATATACATGGAAGGTTTCTCGTTTTTTGCCAGAACTTTCACTATGACAACGCAGCTCAAACAAAGCTTTTAGTAAATGATACAAATTGAAATCCTCCGCATACTGCGTTGCTACTTTCAAATGTCATCCTTAAACTGGTATGTATCAGCATCATATCGAAAATTTGAGCAAATTTCTTCTTCTTGAAACAATAAGCATGAGGCATCCATTTGTGATTGTGATGCCGCCGTCTTCATTTTACCGTCCACCACATCACGTCACTGCGTCATCAAGGTAAAGAGTTTTAAAATGAGCGTATATACACGAAACAGTGGTAGCTTTCTTGCACCTGTGTTTCCTATCACTACACACCTCACGGGTATTTTCATACTTCAAAATGACTGTGGACGCAAATGCTAATTTGTCAGCAGTCGACTATGCAAGAAATGCGCCGAATCATGCCATCTCCAACGCAATATTGGTCAAATCTAATGATAAGTTGACGAAATGCTAAACACTTATAAGCAATTTTGCTGGTTCAAGGGATGGTTTGTTGCTCTGTCGGATGGAGCTCTGCGTCTGGATCTGTCGACCTTAATTCGTGTCCTACGATCGACATGAATGATAAGGCACAATTATTGATTCTGTTTTTGTGAAACAGATTGACGTCTTTAGTCCAAAATTTGTGATCAGCAGGATGAACTGACAAGCCTTCGCAGACAAAAGCTCGCTTGTTAATATAGGTGTACAGCGTCATTGTTAGACGCTTAAGCTATAGACTGAAACTCTGTGAAGACGTCTAGAACGTTTTAGTACGGGATTAGCAAACTTTCAGCGGACCACAATCAAAATTCTGAGCTCCTAAGAAAAGCTTAAACAAGTACTTGCATGTTCGATACCCAAATAGTTTCGGCTCGGTTAGTCGAAACAATCGAGAACACCAGCGAATAAATGATTGAATATATGGAAAAACCAATCTCTCACGTCGAGGCTCTGGCAGTTTTTTTTTAATTCGATGGTTTCATTTGATTAATTTCTCAATATTGCTTTTTGCTCTTGGATCTAAGTCGATAATTTCTGGTTTGAATTCCTTACTTGTAATAGCAAAGCCTTGCTTTTCGTGTCTTCACCATCTCGTTTTTATTCTAAGTTTTACTTTTGCAGCTAAATTTAAAAACGGCTAGAATAAATTGAGTTGCTCTCTCTTCATTTGCACTAAAAACATGTGATAACTTAAAGACTTCTTGCAGCCAAATGCTTATATTTTGCGCCGATTGCGTTTACACCAGAAGTATCAGCTCCCTAGTCGTGCGATTGTTAAGTACGAGGTGCCCACGTGATTGAGGCCACAAGAAAATGACAGCTTGTCGTTTGTCTTTAGCTGCTCGATAGTATTCACAGCAACTGAGCCTCCGTACCCTGAAGAACTTGCCTCTTGAATTATTTCATCATTCCTTTTCAGCTGAATTTCGGTTTCCGACGACCCATTGATAATGGCTCCGATCATGTAAACACCACTACGTAGGATCTTGATCTTACCATCACAGCCATTCGAAATTAAGTCAATCGATTGTGCAGAGTTCCAGTTTATCAATGAATTGTTTTGTTGAGTTGAGGTCGTCAATTTGACAAACGATAAATTATTCCCAGTTTTCAGCAGATTTTTAAGTTTTTCAATCTCGTCCTGCTGATCTCGCAGTTTGGACTCCAACATGTCAATTTGCTTTACTGCAACAGGATCAAGGTCAAACGTGTATTTTGCCTTCCACGTCGATCGAAGAACACGAATCGTAACCACCAATTCTAGACGAAGCGCTCCTTCCGCTAAAGTAACCAAATATCGATTCACATCACTATTCTCAGCAAATTTGCTGTCTAATATGTCACGAAAACACTGCAAAAACATTGTGAGCTGAGTCTATTAGACACAAGCAAAATGTATAGTTCACCATGACGTAGTCGGCCACACACGCTTCTGGAATTGCGTTCGTAGTCGACACGAAATCCGTTATGATCATCTCACCTTTAAACCTACAAGTGGCAAGAAATTTATTTGGTCTGAACTTCCAATACGAACGATATTTGCTACCATTGTTTTTTGGATGTTCGATCTTCTAATCGAATGCTCAGTTTGGAACTCTTTAGCTCAATGACATAGCGATATGATGTTGTCGGCGGTGGAGCGAAGACAGTGACGCCCTCTACCTCAATATCTTGCATGGTCGTTCCAAAGAGATTAAGAAACTAAGAAATGATTCAGGCGGTTGGTGGACGAGATGTGAGAGGATCTTTTCTGAGAATGTTCCAAGTGTCGCAAAATTTATGCTCTCTTAGTTTTCATACGTCATCTTTCGACGCAATTTCGCTTTGTTAGTTCTCTCTGCGAGATCATCTCGCTGATGTTATAACCAACAGACTCGCTCGATGCACAGCGTGTGATGATATCTCAGGTGCCACAATGTACTGTGTCTGTGCTATTTCATGGCAAACTTGGAACGAAAAAACCCGCATACAAATGCTAAGCTCCGAGTTCAAACATTTCTTCTATACAATATATTCCACTGTGCATCGGGGTTATCATGGATTAGACACTGAGAAAGCCACAAACTTACAAATGTTGGGTACGTACCGAGAGCCTCTTTTATCACTACGTGTCTACATAGCTCTGCTATTTCAAGAGAAATTTATATTGAATAAGTACTACTTAGACCAGAACAACAAATACCTTTCACAAGCCATTTATACTAACTTTCCTGCTTAGCAGACGACGACGGGAGATATTTCTTTTCGGGTTTCAAAATCCGATTGCGAATATTTGCAATTACATCAAGTGATGTGAATATTCGGACAAATAATTTGTATTGCATTCAATATGACTGTACTGAAGGTCTAAGAGTGGAGGACACAAGCTATCTACCCTCAGTGCTTCATCTGTCATACCCTCATACCCTCCACAATAACACGCGCGCCAAACTAGGACTCACAGCTCATATGTTTCTTAAGACTCTGCATTATAGTGACCGTTCCACTTACAACTATCTCACCTGGTATTTCATTTCACTCACTGCACAACAGCGTGCGTGCTCTTCGGAGATAACTTGCAGTCGAATCGGTCAGCTTATATTTGCACTCTACACGTTATCCGGGTAAAAATGTAAAAATAGTCTTCCAAAAGGCTCGGTCTTTGCCACCGACGTCCTTGAAGGATTTTTTCGTAAAGATACCTGGGCTCCCTCCGATATGAACGGTCTTTGTGATTTCCTGAGTCCGATCAGAACATCTCCGCCCTTACCAGTCGTGACACCACCAAGCTGTTCCCAAACGAAGAGGCGCTAACCTCCACGCCCTTTATCGCCGGCAGAAGGTGTTGCGCCTCCCCACCGGGGGACTCACGACGATTCCAAGCTGGTTGCCAACATTTTGGCCCTTTCCAAAACAAATTCACTGCAAGAGCAAGAGTTACACCAATTCCTGCCTGATCCAGCACGTCGTGATGATGTTTCAAACCGTCTGAAGTTGCCCGCCATGCTGGTGCAGTAACTTACAAGAATGTATGTGTGGCCATTTCCATCACACCAGGAATAAACCAAGAGGGATAAACTCGGTCCATGGACCCTTCCTTAAATCACTTGTAACTAAACCCTCACCAGGCGTGCCGCCTGGACTTTGACCAGCAGTGGTTCGGCGGGGAACGTATCCCTCATGAGTGATGTATCTTGGCTGCTAGAAGCTGATAAAAATACCGATGATCATCAGATTTGCTTCTTGTACTGGGTAAAGAATCACGCCACCTCTTTCGTCTCAAGGCTTTATAAGCCAGCCTCAGCAATCGGCATCCGTCTATATCCTTGTCTAATGCCAAACTTAGTAGAGCTCGTTGAACGACGCGGACGCCAAGGTGACAACCTACCCCATCAAACTCATGCTGTTTGCGATTCCGCTTGTGTCTAATAGACATCTACACAGGTTTCGACCACGACCCTATTCACTACAAAGTCAATAGTTGCAAATTTGCTGCGACGAGCGTATTTGCCTCATCGACAAAACAATTAAAAGACCGTGATTGTCTCAGATGTTAAGTGGTCACGACACCAGAGTAATATTGCCGAAGTGGAGTCTCAGATACTAGGGTTAGAGCACCTACAGCAGGAGATGTCGGCGCCGACTGCGTCCACGACGCTAACGTTGGCAACGGATGACTCCCCCAAACCCAAGACGCTAACAGTGAGTGTGAAGACCTTCGAGGGCAAGGCTGGAGAGAATCTTCTGCTCTGGGTGGACGAGGTCGAGCGCGAGAATGGGCACTGACGTGCGGCACTTCGGTCGAAGCGATGTTTACCTCATGGATGGAGCTGAAGCTGCAGCTTTCACGAGTGTTCTCACTGCCTAACTAGGCATATCGCGTGCGATCGCTTTTCCTTGCTGCACGACAGGGCAAGAAGGAAGAGGTGAAATTTGTCCAAGAGTTGCGTGCTCAGATTGCCGGTATGGCAGCTGATCCTCTTTCGAGCCGGTTACAGTGACCACGACTTGGCTGGAATGCACACTCTAGCAGCTCGTCGAGCGGAGCTGAGCCGATGGATCTCAGCCATGCTGAGAACGAGGAAGCAGAGCTCCGAGCTGCCGAGCTGCTGAGCTGCTGAGCTGCCGAGTTATTCAAAACCCGACGGTATTCTACTTTAGGAGACACCTGTCACCTTTGGATTTATCTCCCCTGCGCAAGGTGCGTCAAGGTTCATTGAACCGACGTCCCGCTTCTTACCAGTCTTTTGTTTGTCGCGGGGAAACGACAGCACCCATTAGGTGCGAGGCGGCCTACCAAATGAGAATTGAGTTCTGTCGAGCCTCAAGAAGGTAGTAGTCAGCAGGGCCCAGCTCCGAAGAGCTTCGTGCACTTGAATAAGGAACGTGTATGCAAGCCGGGCTTGCTGGTCGTGGAAGCGATCGTGAAGGACTTTGAGAAGCCATGGGAGATCCTGATCAACTCCGAAGCACCGAGCAATTATGCTCGACGCTCCATAATGAAATCTGAGGCGCTGAAGGCGCGGTTGAATGACATCGTCACTTCGACGGGGACATGTGTCTCGGTTCCGAAGGTCCTAGTGGGTCTCTATGTCAAGTTTTTTTACTTTGATAGCGTAGAACGCTGATTAGTTTTAGACTTAAATCCAAGGTATGACCTCATCCTTGGTATGGCATGGTTGAAAACCAGGAGCCATTGATCAACTGGAGGTCGAAGACCTTGGGCGCTACGCACACGTCTTCTGGTGGAGTTTTGATTGTTTTGATATGTCATGAACCCACCTCTGCTAGGAGACAAAATGCTATTAGCGTGGGCACTGGATCGGGACGGTCAACGTGTTTGAGATCAGAGTATCCGGGTTGGTGAACACTGAAGGTGTATCGGACAGGAGTCCCGAGCATGACTCGCGGGCTGAAAATTGAGTTGCACGTAATTCAGTGAGCGCTGCTTAAATATCGGAGCTTTCGCTGCAAGCCTTGCGTGGCATGGTCGGTCAAGTACGGAGACAACGAAGGCGAGACCCCAGTGATGCACGTGGAGTGGCACGTAATCCACTGAGCACTGCTCACGTTTACAGCAGTCGCTGCATGCTAAGAGGTATGAGACATCTTGGGCAAGGCCCTTCAGATGCGCGTGGAGTGGTACGTTATCTACTGAACGAAGACTGCGGAGCTATCAGCTCTCCGTCGGCTGTTGTTAATAAATCAGGGTTCCGGTGGAGCAGGAAGTGGGGCTAACAATGGTCTACGCTGAGTGCGTATTCCCACTTGTCTCGCCGAGATGTACAATCTCCGTAGAGAGGCAACAGCGACGCCATGTGCTAGCTGCTATAAAGACATGCCCAAATGGCTTGGCCTCGCCAACCACTTGCACAAGTAAAGCGATAATTATGAGGAATTGGCACGGCCATTGTCAAATCTCCTTAAGAAAGATGCGGAATGATGTTGAAACACCGAGCATCGGGAGGCTTTAGATGGGGTCAAAGACAGCCATCTTCATACACCAATACTGGCCTTGCCAGATCTTGATCGTCCTTTCGATGTTGTCAGTGACGCTTCGGGCTTTGCCACCGCCTGTGCACTACTGATTGCAGACGTATCAGTTAGATAAATCCATAACCCTTTTTTAGGACTGTACGTATAAAACCAGGATTCGCAAAAGATTCGGAGAGTGCACAAACCAGTTTGAGCGCTGGCCGAAGAGGCACGTCCTCTTTTACGTTTTGGTTCGACAGACCAGATTTAGCGAAACAGACGTCCATCTAGATCACACTTATGGTTTGGCTTAACAAAGCCTTGAAAATTGTAAAGCCTTGAACTTTGTAAATCCAGACCATAAATGTGATCTTAACAGACGTCTAATTCGCTAATTCTGCTTCGGTGTCAACGTTGAGGTAGGGGGTCGCCTCCGTCTTCAATTCTTCTGTTCATCTTCATAAGCTTCTGGCGCAGTTATCGAAGACTCAAGCTCTCAACAATGCTGAGCCTCACTAATTAAAGAAAAGCGCGTCGAGGTGCGCTGCTCGGCCCTGCTAAGAAGGAGAGGTACCAAATGTGTCACGTAGTAAGTATCAACGGCGCTGGGGCAGTCCTGCCGTCTCAAACTTCCCTGACTTCTTGGCGCCAGAATCACTTTTCACGTTGCCAAATTTTAGTTCCACACACCAGCCTACTATCCGCTTCACATGGATATGCGTTTCATTGCCAGTTGATCAGAGCCTAAGGAAGACGACTGCAACGTTACTTGGTCTCGTGAGCTTGAATCAATATGGTGGCTGCTGAGTCCAATAGTCTCGTCATGGGGATGATACTGGCTGAAGCCATCTTTCAGGCACGCCGCTAGGCCGCACGATTAAGGTGATTAGAGGGACGCAACTCAAGTCAGTTCGATGGGATAGAACATCTTCAGAAGGTGGTGACGATGCTTCGTTCTCAAAAGAGCACTTCGTACTGGAACAGCTCGTGGAAGCAGGATTGTAATGTTGCTGGTAAAGCTTAAGTTATTCACGGATGCGCTTGCAATCGGTTTAGTGTATGTGAGTGAAGATAAACCTCTGTCTGGCTACGAGGGCATAGGGCCCAATGCAGCTGGTGCGCAACTTTGTTTGACAGGCTGCAAAACCATCGTCTGTGGATAAATTATTGTTTTATAAAAAAGCCCCACTAATACATTTAATTTTTGTCAGCTTCCGGCTCTGAACGTTCTTTTCCCAAAATCTATCTTCCAGCGAAAGCGTCGTGCGCTCGGCAACCTAACAGAAATAAATTTCTCGATTTTGATGCAAAGTGTGACCGGGCTGATACAAGCAATTAAATTCGGTTAATACCCCCTCCTATGACCGAACCCACATTGTGGCGGGGTCTTAAAAAGTCGGGGTTATACCAGACCATGTATAAACAAGAGTGACACCTATTGAGGCGTCGATTACATTACGCAGACCCAATGAGCGGGTAATCTGTTTTGGCACCGCTGTCTCGTTGCGCATGAGCTCTCGATTGTATGCACTAACGCTTCTCGTCCGACCATATGTTTGGAAATCGTCAGTGGTAAACATAACCAATCTGGCGTTCAGTACCCTAAAAATTGTCTTATATTTGCTGCAAACCTCGGATCTCGATTCTAAACAATCGACAACAGCAAGCTAGGTTGGCAAATTTTTTTGTAAGTCACCCTAATAGCTGCGGGATGGGCAATTTTGCTCAGTTGGTCTACAACAATTACAATGCCGATATTACTTATCGCAGCTTTCAATCGATCAGAACAGAACCTGCTGATGATTGACCTCAATCTGTCAAGCCCGACCGACCGGTCAAAAGTGATGCCCCATGCAATAAAGTTCTAACACGTTTACATGTGCTTCCCACTTATACATATTGAGCCCCAGAACATAGCTTACCAAGTGGTATGTCTTTGCTATTTCAAGGTGGCCCTCCAAAGTGGTCGTTTAGTATTGTGGGATTGGAGCCCTCATCATTATGCACCGCTACACGCGGAGTGTCATGTGGGCCAGGGCTATAATATATCAAACGTTAGCCGTTTAGGCACGAAACTGCTTTCCATCGGTCAAGCGACACATGAGCTCAAATTCGTTTGGTAATGCAGCATAAGTTGCGTCCAGCATGTACGATGTTCGGATCGCCTCATCAACTTGCAACGTTACCGCTATGACATGCGACATTTCATGGTCGGTGCAACGCGATAACGATAAGAGTATAGCTATTTTTCTCTCTATGAAAAGTCTGATGTCGTTATCGCTTCGTTCAACGACGCGTAATCCAATAGATCACAATGACTTAAAACCAGCAGACACACTGACAAGCTGACGAAGTCTTTCTTCATTGCAAGCAGCTCCCTGGTCATGAACAATGTTATCTCGATTTGACTCGTTAAGCCGGCGGAGACTCAAGCACAAATGCACGTTCATGCCCGCTTAGAGTAAAGCAAAACCTATTGCATCGGATAAAGCGTCACAGAGTACGTGGAATACTCGATCTTCATTTAATTTTTCAAAATTGGCGGCATATTAGGCTTCCATCTACAGCCTTGAGGCCGTTTCTTCTCTCGCACTTCACAACTTCGTTTTAAGTGGTTGGTTAATCTCCCTACATGTCGGCATCAATTGCACTATGGCTATGCAAGTACGCTTTCGTGAATGTATTTTTTGTACTTCGGCACTAGTCGAAGTACAAGGTCATATTTTGTTCTTCCCGCTAGGTGCTTCCAAATAAAGCAACTTAGACAGAAAATTTTGTTGGTGCCAAATACAACCTCGCTGAATTTGCGGCTAGGTAAATCAAGCGCAAACACTCGAGCACTACTTATATATGTTCAATTTGGTTCCCATTATTCAATTTCTTGTTTTATGCACGTTTTAGACGAATCTTTCGTAGCAAACGGGCTGTGTATAGTTACGATGCGGTCTGAAGAACTGTGTCGCCAGACGAATGCACGTCGCTGATGCACTAGACAGTCAATGTCATGACTAGCCACTCACAGAGTATCCCGGTTGAAGTACTCAATGCTGTGCGAGGAATATCGCTATCTGTCATCGGCAGATAACAACAGCTTTCAGCCAAGTTGATGCCATTGAACAAAGTAACGCCAACCGTGCTATTTGTCTATTTAACGTCACTTGATTAAAACGGTAGTTTGCGACACCCGACCCCTTCCACTCTCAAATTGCCTTAGCGGGGTTACAACAACTTCATGTTTGGGATACTATAAGCTTGACGCACAACCATAATCCAAGATCGTTTAACAATCCACGCGAGAAAGATTTAGTGCAAATGCTACGTTGATGATTTAGGATGAAGATGCGATGGCACATCAACATGCATTTAAGGATGTTGGTTGTTCACCGTGATACATCATGATCAAAACGGTTCGGCTTGTTGAAAGAAGGAGGTTTGATGTCTAGTGATTTAAGGCAGTTCAAAATAGCAAAAGCTATCAGCACCGGCCTGAAATCATAATACTTGTGCACAATCATTCGACAGATCAATTCAAGGATAAAATGTGTGTGTGTGCAGCGAAGCTGCCGTAGCTAAGCGCTTGAGGAAGCGTACTTTAGGTAACCGACCTTTCGTTCTTTACAAGAACCAAGTATTACTTAGCGGATCGCAATCCGCTTACTCCAAGAGTACTTATTGCCTTCCCAAGGCTGATTGACTCTTCAATTTACATTCAACACTGATTTTTTTCCTTTTTCTAGTTTTTGAAATTTAGATTATCTTAAATATTCTAAATATCTATAGATAAGTCCAAATACATGCATAACTACAGACAACCTAGCCCCGTACCGTATTCTTGTTTGGGTGAGATTACACTATGCACATCTCGTGTGACACACAAACCCCTGTTATCAGGGTTCGTGTAACCCTGTTACAGTGTGCAATTCACCGAAATGAATCAACTACAGAAGCCGTCCGCTTCTTATTCCAGGCTCTGACTGAAATTGAAGAAAGACGGCACGAAGTGAATCTAATGTTCATGAAAGATCTCATAAAATTTTCAAATGACATTCCAAATGTGGCTTACGACGAAGACGAATATAACATGGTGTTCAACTCGATTGTATGGCATCGTCAGAATGATTTGCGGGAATATCAACAACCAAAAGTCGGACAATGAATATTCCACTTGCCGTACTGTACTCACCACAAATGCTGAAAAGCATCGAATCCGTCATGCTGGGTCGAATAGATTGAACCAGCAAACCTATGAGTTTTTATTACGCGCTCAAAAAAGTTTCTCTCAAAGCGATTGCTATATACTATCCATCTTAACAAATTCTGCCTCGTTGGCTGACGCCAGGAAACGGGTCCCAAGTGACAATGCGGATTTAAAGCTCAAACTCCGAATTGTGTAATCGATTTCTTCTCTGGGTCGCCAAGTCATTCCCGCAACGAACAGAATTAGTGAGGGCTAATACCAGCACATGCTGATTCCAATGATCGTGTCCATTAGTGAGAACGATTTGCGTCAGTTTCTCTTTCACCTTCACCAAAAGCAGTTTGCAATAAAACTTATGCAATCACCATCAACAAGGCAAAGGACAATTTAGGCAAAATTTGGGTCTTACCTGTTGGAGGTCTATAAAATGACCAAGTTTAACCTTATTTTGCGCTCAATTGATCGAATAAAATCACATACGAGAATAACTCATTTTTGATATTATGACAACTCTTATGAAGGGTATAATTAACAAGTATAATTGGCACTCACTAAATATGCAAAATGGTGACAGCGACTTAATGCAATGACGACGATGATGTAAACATTCGATTTTGGATTTGCTATTTGCACGCATACAGAATAAAAATGAAAGCGTCGCAATTAAACTTTGTCTTCATCGTATGACACACATTATGACACAACGGGGTGCAAGCCAGACGTGTTCTATAAGACTTTTCACTCAGGAATAAAGTACTTTTAGATTAAATGGAGCGAGCCGAAGAAGCAAGTGATACATACAAACGCAGTGGAAAAAGATGAGCTTTCATGGAAACATGTTGTAGCATATGTGTCGAAATTTGTGTATTGATATGCTAACAAAATTGTTGCGTTGATTTGCTTAATTGCTTTCCTTCAGTGCAAATTTTAGTCGTGCATCATCAAAATTAAAATATTACCGTCCAATCTGACGACAATGACTCTTCAAGGCTTGAATATTAAGCTTATTGATCTTACAAGTATGAATTTGTTTTTTGTGTTTGCCGAATATTCACTACTGAAGAAATGACCCTTATTCGAAATTTGCTGAAATCTTGAATAGAAATCAATCTTAATCTTTACATAAAGGTTATTTATGCTCTCATAGCAGCTCTCTATCTCTGCGCTGTTAGCGAAGTTAGAAGACTTTTTGTCAAGAAGTTAATACGCAAACTCATTAAAAGTAGAATGGTGGATTTTCCTTCCATTGCATTGATAATGCGTATGATCGCACACTTTGACGCCACCAAACCTACACATTTAGCGTTGACTACCATAGATCAGTTCTCAAGTCGAAGGATTGTTAAGTAAGAAGTATCCGCGAGGTTCGCCAAGCAAGTAATTGTCAGCTTGTCGTTTTCCTCCAATTGCTCGATAGTATTCACAACAGTTGAGCCGCCGTGCCCTCCATAATAACCGGCAGTCACTACCTGAATTGGATTGTCATTCTTCATCAGCTGAACTTTTTGATTGACATTCGACACTGCATTGACAATAGCTCCAATTATGTAAACACCCTTACGTCGGATCTTGATCACTCCATCCACGCCGTTTGATTCAAATTCCGTCGAATGTGCACGATTCCAGCATAAAATAGAGTTGCCCTGCTTGGTTGAGGTTGTGAGCTTTATATACGATGGGTTTTCCCCACTTTTAAGCTGTTTTTTAAGCTTTTCGATTTCGTCCTGCTGATCACGCAGTTTGGATTCTAACACGTCAATCTGATTTACTGACACAGGATCTAGGTCAAACGTGTATTTCGCCTTCCACGTCGAATGGAAGACACAAATTGTTGCAGACAATTCCAGCCGTAGAGCTCCTTCATCTAAAGCGACCAGACTTCGATTTGCATCATTGGTCTTAGCGAAATCGCTGTCCAATGCTTCTTGGAAACACTATGTAACATCAAGAGCTGAATGTCTATCCTTTCTATCAGACAAAGGTAACAAAATGCACCTTAACATAGTCTGCCACATGTGCTGTTGGAATCGCGTTTGCAGTCGACACATAATCAGTTATGACCATTCCACCCTTAAACCTACAAAAAGCGAGAAATCTCATTTAATACAAGCTGAACTACAAACAATATTTGAGTCCCACCATTGT